ATTGTGTAAAGCTTTTAGCTTCAAAGCCAGGTTGTGAATAACATTGGTTTAACCTGAAATTTAAAGCCAGCATTTCTTTGCTCCCTGAGACGGGGCTTCCTGCCCCTTGCTCCCCTGAAGCTAGCTTCCAGAATGTTAATTCTGACAGCCATGGTTGACTAAGCCCAGCACTGGGTCTATTACATATTATTTGATTTGGAGTAGAAAAAAAGAGATTTAAAGATACCATGCCCCTGTATACCTTTGTACTTTTGCCCATGTCTGTCCATATATTTAAGCATACCATTCACATTGCGAGTTCAGATTTTTCTCCCTGGAATAAAAGGGGTCCAAGAGTTTCTGTAGCCTGTCTCTGAGACTACATTCCCCAGTGAGGTCAGACAGCATCTTTGTAGCACAGATGAGAAAAACTATGGAAGCTTCCATTTGGAGGCCTGGAGGTTCAGATCTGCCTTCATGCTGTGGATGATTTTCTGGTTTTCATTTCTGTAGTCTTCTATGAGCATATAATCTACTTGTTTGTGTACCTACTGTGTGTGACACCCAGAAGCAGGTCAGCTATGTCCCTGGCCCGAGAACCATGAGCCTTTATTGGTTGACACATCTACATTTACTGGTCTGATTATTTTCCAATGAACATTTGCCTCTTCTACTGGACATAACTCCCTGGCGACCAGAGGGCAGGGCCAGCTTTTGCACATCACTGTATGCCTGGTGTTTACACAGAGCCTGCTTACTAAGATTGGTTGAGGAAAGAAGGAATAAATGAATGAAGTCGGACAGAGCAATACTTACATTTGCAGACCAGATCTGCGGAGTGAAGGTGGTTGTCACAGGTATTACTAATTTGTTCATTTAGTCCAGAAATACTCCCTGTGGAGGTGACAGAGATGAATTAACTGTGGCCCCTCCTCCCCCATGGTGGCTAATAATGCAGAGTGAAAGTGAAGGGTCCCAGGAGAAAGTGGTTAGAGAGAAAAGCAGCTGGGACATGAAGAGAGGCATCCTGGAGGAGGCCACATGCATGCTTGCAGGCTGTGTCTGTCCTGGCAACACTGTGTGCGTCAGGGAGGGACGCTATACCTTTCATGCAGGCGTGGAGGATACCGGCACCTGACAGGCTGACTCCATGTGTCACCTTCAAATGCCCACAAAGGCAAAATTTGTGTGGCCAGCTCTTACCCTTTCCGAAAGAGGAGACTTGGGAGCAGGGATTAGAAAACATGGCCTTATCTAAAGGAACTAGCAGTTCAGGCCCGGGGACCAATAGTACGAGGGCCGATTGTGTACCTAGCCCTCTCTCGTGGCCTCCCACTGTTACCCCAGCAAGGCCTCGGATCCCCTCTGGGACCTCCGTGGCTGCCTGGCCAGGCCCCTGCCTGCCTCTCCAGAACCTCCTGGGGTCTTTTCCTCTCACTCCCTCTGTTCCTTTTATCTCCTTTCCTCTCTGGGCCTTTGTACAGGGGTCTCCCTGCCTGGCGCACTTTCTCCACCCCAACCCCCTGTGCCCAGCCGACCCTTCCTCCGCTTTCAGTTCAAGCATGAGTTCCCCTTGGAAGACTTCCCTGACTCTTCCCCAATTATAAACAGTCGAATGTAAATATTTCTAGATACCTTTTCTACTTAGCAGTAATCACAGCTTGCAGTCACAGGCCTGTGTGAGCACTTGACTAAAGTGGGCTGCCTTTCGGAGACTGGAATGAGGCGCCTTGGTCGGCACTGTATCCTCTGTTTTCGTTTTTCATAGTTCCTGGTACAGAAGAAATGTTATCAATATTTGTTAAATGAATAAATGACTATATGTTTAGGAGTGTCCAAAGTCTTCTTAAGGAAATGACAGACCTTAGGCATCAGAGCACATGACAGGGTAGGTTTCATCCACCTTCCGAGAAGAGAAAGCAGGTAGAGGTGCTGGCCGGAGCGGAGCAGCAAGAGCCATCACGGTCAGGGTGAGTGCCTGGAGAGGTGGCCCTTCCCACGCACAGCCCTCCGCTTGGAGTGTCTGGGTTAGCAAGACAGCCTAGACACCCCTCGAGCCGTGGAGTCCGGGGGTGACTTTCAGAGAGCCAGAGCAGGGTATAGCAAGTCTCCCTGGACGACCCAGTGCAGGTCCCAGCGAGGTGGCCTCTGCTTGGAGTATGTGCAGTGTCCTTTGGGGGGATGGACCTCCAGGACCCCCAGGACCTCCAGTGCATGCACTTGAGTTCGCCTATGCCCTGAGTCTTGACTCTGTGTTGGGCCATACTCAGTAACCAAGTGACCTTGTACACAGCTGAGACACCCTTTCTGAGCTTCCTTTGTGGAAGCAAAGCTCTGCCTTTCCTAAGCTCTGAGCTATGCAAAGAGCCCAGCCTGTGAACACTGTGGGAGAGGGATTGAGCCTGAAGACGTCTGCGGGATGGCCTGGTGGGTGGGGAGGGGCCTCCTGGAAGGGCAGAGTTGGGGCATGTCTGACGGGGGAGCTGCAGGGGGAGAGAAGAGGTGGGCAGCGGAGGCCTTGGTGGGACTGGTCGGGAGCTAGCCAAAAGGAAGGAGCCTTCATCAGGAGTTTTAGGCCTGGCTAGCAGGATAGAGAGTGGGGAGTGTAAGTGAAGCTGGTGGACAGAGGGAAGTTCTCTGAGAGCGGATGTGGTCTCTCTGGCATAGAGAAACTTGGTGGGAACACTGTTGGACCAAGGCCAAGGTCATTTGGCAGGCGTGGCTGAGGCCAGGATGACTGGCCAGGGTAATAGCTGGGGAGGAGCAAGCTGAGCCTTCTTCCCGTGTGTGTGTGTGTGTGTGTGTGTGTGTGAGAGAGAGAGAGAGAGAGAGAGAGAGAGAGAGAGAGACCTTTGATAACAGGGTTATTTGGTGGATGCCAACTAATGAAAGAGCATGCTGGGCAGACACATACTGGGCTGGGCTGTGAGCTCCCACAGCCTGCTAGTCTTGGGATGCATGGGATGAGCCATTATGGAAGAAGGGGCATCATGGTGTTGATGAGGATGATGTCCTGTGCGCAGGGCGGGGACCAAGGCTCTGGTATCCTCTGCGGTCAGAATGCATCTGGGATCCATTTTCTCAGCGTGCTCATGAGCCACCTCTGAAGGCTCTTCTTGTAGAAAATGCTGGAGTGCTCTGAGCTGTCAGCCACCCCAGGGACTTTCATCAGCCAACACTCATGTGAACCCCAAAATGTCAGACCCTGCATTACACTTGCCCCCAGATAGCACAGTTGGGGAAGTACCAACTTTTGGCAGCATCTCAGTGACACAATGTCCCACTGCTTCAGGCTCCTCGGTTTGGCCTCCGTCCTCATATGGGTGGGGTTTCACATGGTGAATGGAGTCCAGGTCAGCAGGGTGTGGGCGCGGGCGTGGGCGGGGCCCTGTGTGATGGGCACCTGTTAGTGAGGGATCTGACGCGTGCTGGTTCCCCTTGCGCTTTCTTCCCAGTGGCAAGGCAGAGGCTGTGTCTCTGGGCCTGGCTTCCAGCAGTGTCTCTAGTCGGCTCTGCAAGCAACTTGGTCCTAGAGAGCCCTGGGGAATGACCGCCCTTGTGGTTATTTCCACCTGGAAACTTTTGGCCTCCTTGTTTCCTTTCATTTCGAATAGTTCACGCCCCGGACTTACAAAAGATATTCCATCCTATTCACTTTTTTTATTTTATAACATTTTCATTGACATGTAAGCATCATCACCAGAGACTATTACAGTGTGAAGAGCTAACAATAAAGAACACATAGAGAATTTAATCCTGTACTTTCTTGGTAATGTACATTTTTGAATAGGCAATACATTTAAAGTTCTGCAACAAAACAAAACAAAACAAGCATGCTATGAAAAGTCTCCCTCCCCTTTGCCTATCTCCACTTGGTTCCTACCTGCCTGAATTATCTAATATTTCTCACACTTCCTTCCAGAGTTCTTGTGTGTGTGTGTGTGTGTGTGTATGCATTTTATATAAAATACATTTTAATATGTATGTGCATTATATAATATATACATGTAATATATACACATAAGTATGTGTTATATAATTATATAATTGCAATATATTGTGTTAATAGGTATATTATATTAATATATTTTATATAAACATATAGTGCATTATATAAAATACATTATTTTCTTTCTTTTTACACAAAAGCTTATAATTATACCTTCTGTGCTTTACCTGGCTCATTTATTTTTCATATAATAATGTCTCTTGAAGTTCTTTCCATATCAATTCACAGAGGACATCCTCTTTCCTCTTTGCAGCCACACAGTACTCCACGGTGTGGGCGTACCATAGCTTATTTATCCAGCCCCTGAAACATAAACTCTTGGGTAGTTTCCAGTCTTTTGCTTCTGGAACCTGAACATGTATCACTTCCCATATGTGTAAGCCCAACTATAAAATAAATTCCCAGAGGTGCAGTTGCTCTGTCAGAGGGAATGTGCACTTGTGATCTTCATAGATTTTGTCAAATTGTCTGTTGTAGGTGTGTGACCAATAGGCTTTCATCAGAATGGTATGAGAGTGTCTTGTTTCCCTACAGCCTTTGTAACAGCACTTTATTGACTGGTCACATGATATGGCGGCAAATGTCCTGGGTAAGGGCATGAACTCTGGGACAAAACTGTCCCTACAAGGGGATTGTCAGTGCAAGAGAGACAGGGGCCACTGCTGATTAAGCCTCTGAGTCAAACTTAGCTTCAGTCCTCAGGCAAATCACTTGATCTCTAGACCTCAATTTTCTCATCTGAAAAATGGGAAAATAATATCATCTTCAGGGGGGTCATTGTGAGGATTAGATGAGGTGGTGCACGTGGAAAGGGCTGCGCACAGTGCCTGGTATGTGGCTATGGGAGGCTGGCTCTGCACCAACCAGCAGGGTGACTTTGGCCAGGACCCACACGTCTGTTTCTGGGCTCGTGGGTCTCTCAGGCCCTCTCCCTAATCTCAGGGTCTGACGTGTCTTTCTTCAGCATCTTGGGTAAGCCGCACTCATCCTTCCTCTCTCACGCTCATCAAAGGTATTCAGGAGTCTCCGGTGCCAAATGGTCACTCGCTGCCGGGCAGAGATTTCCTCCGGAAGCAGATGCGGGGAGACCTGTTCACACAGCAGCAGCTGGAGGTGCTGGACCGCGTGTTTGAGAGGCAGCACTACTCGGACATCTTCACCACCACGGAGCCCATCAAGCCCGAACAGGTACGTTCCATGACTCACTGCCTGCCACACCTCTACCCAAATGCAGCCTGGCTGGTCCTCCCGGTCCTCCCGGCCAGTGGCTGGGTGTGGGTGAGAGCGCCAAGTTCTACTCAGAGGTGGCTTCTCCTTGTTCTTGGACAAATGTGGCTGGTCACAGAATCCCACGAGGTCAGGAGGACTTGTTTGGGGTTCTGGAGACTTCTGTCTCTTCTGCCAGCCAGAAGGGGATGTGACTTATCTGGCTGCTCTGCTATGCCGAACGGTAGCCTTTCCCAGGGCTTCTTGCACAGGGGTGTAATGATCTTCTGGGCCACTCGAGATGGCCTTGGGTCATTATCCTGTCAGGGGGAAGGTGGGAATATGTAAGCAGCCTACGGCCATAAGCCATGCTAGGGTGGTACTGCTTTCAGCCCTCTTGTCAGGCCGCCTGGTCCCGCTTTTAGAGACTGAATCCAAGGGTTTGGAAATGAATAAATGTCTCACTGGACAAATACCCAGCCGAGTCATTGGCAAGAAAGGGAAGAAAGTAGGAGGAGGGCCGCTTGCTGAGCAGCCCCTGCACCTCCCTGGAGAGAGAAGCGGTCACTGCCTATGGTCACAGAGTGGGAACCAGAAAGGGTCTGCCCAGTGAGAGGCTTTCAGGGCCTGGGTAAGGTCCAGATTCAATTCAGGACGCTAGTTCCTGATGCTCAGTCTGTGCCAGACCCCAGGCTGGCTTCCTTGCCGGCACGAGCGGCTCAGACATGGGTTCTGCCTGCCGAGAGCTCCCATAGGTCAGAGAGACCTATGAGCAATGACTTGCCCAGAACTTTGCTCTCTGGTGCTGGGGGGGAGGGCTGGTCATGCTGAGCTTCTTTGGCATGCTAATTAGATGATGCTTCTGACGTGTTCTGAAAGAGCAATTCAGAACCGTGTATGCTGCATACACAAACTCTTGTGGAGAGAAGAGTTGCCTGAGAGGACCTTGGGTGGTGAAAAGTGTGCAATGCTTTGGGGCCACCATCCTGTGACAGTCTGGCCACCTCTCAGCATTTCCTATGAGGACTCTCACAGACCATTGATCCACTTTGTTTTCAGATGGGGAAACCAAAGCCCAGAAAGGTAAAGAGACTTGCCTAAGGCCATGCAGCAAGTTGTGTATTCATTTAACCAGCATTGATGAGTGTCTACTATGTGCACAACACAAGGTAGATACTAGAGGTACATTTGTGAACAAGACAGTCTTGAACTTGCCCTCAGGGAGCCTACAGATGTGTGGAAGAATCACTAGAAATAAGAATAACCCGAAGGGTAGTGGATTACAGATGTGCTAGGTGCTGAGAAGCGCCTGTCTGAGGTTCTCCAAAAACATAAAGCAGAGCCTGAGCCCGCTTGAAGGGGAAATGCATTTCTGCTGAGCCCGAAGGGGTTGGGCTGAATCTGGAGAAGGGACACGGGTGTGGGTGAATGTGCCTGGCGGAGGGAAGAGCAAGTGCAAAGGCCCTGAGGTGGGAGGGAGAGTGGCAGGAGGGAAGAAGAGAGAGTTAGTGGCCATGCTTCAGGGGACGGCTGCCAAGAAGGGTGGGGGTGATGTTGGGGAGATGGGTCTGGTCGTGTAGGCTGTGGTCAGGATTCGGTCCTTCTCCTGCAGGTGGAGTGCAGTCTCCCCCGGGAATGACTAGCTCTATCGGCTGGACAGACCCGACCCCGCACGCACAGGCTGCTGGGTTTTACGGAAAAGAGTCTGTTTGTATCACAAACAGCCTTTTCTACTGCTCAGAGCTCTTCTGAGAGATGGTCAAAGCCACATTTCACCTGACACAGGAGCAGAAAGAAAAGGAATTTAGTCAGGAAAACTTCCTTAGATGAGGTCAGCTTCCCTCCAGAATCTGGGAGAAAATTTATCTTCCAACCATTGACAAGATCATATGATTTCAGCACTTGTGGGGACTACAGAGGCAAGCCTCCACCCTCCATCTTTAAGAGGCCCAGAGAGGGGACAGGGTTTGTGTGAGGGTCACCCAGTAAGTGAGGGGTGAAGAGCAAGGTCCCGGGCACAAAGCATCCAGCATTTCTATAGTAAGCCCTTATTTACTTGGTGCAGACATTCAGTATCAGTGACTGTGGTTCCCTCGGTGTTTCCCATGACCCTCAGAATCTACAGAATCCGAATCATAGTTCATGTAGCTTAGAATGCCTGGAAAGACTGGGCAGAGACTACAAGGCTTCATAATTGGGAGAAGCCCCTCCGTGTATCCATTCACTCACTTGCTCAGACACTCACTTGCTTATTTATCCAACATGTTTTTTGCACACTGGCTGTCCGGCACCCAGGGGAGGGAGAGATGAATCAGGCACCAGCTCCCAGGGGCAGTATGATATAGATTCAGATTCTGCAAGGCAAGGGGGAAGGTTCTGTAGCCCTGATGAATGGAGACACTGCTCCATCTGGGGTATGTTATGGCGGAGATAATGTGGGGGGGCAGGTTGATAGGCTCATGTAGAGATGGGGCCTGATGGAATGGAGACCTGAATCACAGACTCGATGAGGGCTCTGTTTCGAGCAGTCTCGCTGTGCGGTGCCCTTCAGGATGATGCGGACACGGCCGCGGGCCTGTCTCTCACTGTGTGGCTGAGGCGGGGCCTGCAGGCAAACCTTGCGGTGGGATAATGACTGACTCAGGGCTTTCTGGTTAATTTGCTTCACCTCCTCGTAATGTTCTGTAATGAGGAGAGATGGAAGGTGAGGCCGCGGGGCCTCTGGGCACACACACACAGGCACTGGACTATGAATGACATACCCTCGCTCCCGATTCCCAATCACTTTGGACAAATGATGGTCCAAACGAGGGGCTGCAGGCCAGGAAGGCAGGCACGTCAAGGGTACAGGTTCCTTGAGCCCCGTCATGCTTGCTTTCGCCTTGTCTTGTGAGCCCCAGAGCGGACGTGACGGTGGCGCCAGGAAGGGGCCTGGAGCTCTGGCCACGGAGGCTGGTGCCTCTTCCATTGTGAGCAGATCCGTGACTTCAAGGGCTAGTGGCCTAGGTGGGGTCCTTGCTGTCAGTTTCATTGAGCAGCCTGATGGGGAAGAAAGAGCATTTGCTGGCCTTGGAGTTGGGGGAGTTTGACTTGAGTCCTGGCTCTGCCCTGTTAGGCAATTTGCTTTTTTCCTGGGACTCAGTTTCCATTTATGAGGCAGTAGTAATTGTGATTTTGATAACAATGACAACAACAGCAATAGCGATGACAACAGTGATCTTTCCCACTTACCCATGATACTGTACAATTTTCAAATACCTTTCACATCTGTACTCTCACTGGACTTCAGTGTAAATGACTGCTAAGCAGACTGGGCGAGACTTGTGAGCCCCATTTTACAGATGGGAACATTTCTTTTCAGACTGCTCACCCTATGTCAGGCTCAGGGGGCTTCTGGGATTTGTCGAGGCCACAGAGCTAGAACTTGACCTCAGGATCTTCTATCTTCATCTTGTACAAGATGGTTACGTGGGCCTTCACGTCCCCAAGAGATTCTAGTAGCCAGCTTTCTGACCGGCTGGTTTACAGAACTGGCCTGTTGTTGCCAGAGTCCTTCTGTCATTCTAGGACTCAGAGACTTGCCGTAAGCGTGGGTGCTCAAACCGTCCTCAGTTACCCACATAAACACCCATGGGAAGAGCCTTCTTCAGGGCCAGGTTGGGGTCCTGCCAGCCACTTCCGCGAGCCCAGGGCCCGCCCTCACCTTGCTGCTTTTCCTGCCAAGATCTACCCTGGGTGGATGGGCCCAGACTTCCTACTTTTATAGGGAAACTTAGTAAACCCTTAGTCCTGGGTGGAAGGGGTTAATGTAGACATACTCCTGGGGCAATGAAACACTTCCTTTTCAAAATGACTATAGAAAAAGCAATTCTGTTTTCTCTACATGTGGAGTGAGTAAAAATCACCTTGGAGTAGAAACGAAAAAAATAACAATTGCTGGTGGCGTGTGTGCGCACACACATGCGTGTTTCTATTTCAAGCAGGGAAATCTATTTCAGTAAAACTCGAGCTGACGCTGTCGTGGGCGCTGTACTCCTGGTGGGAGCTGGTCCCTCCTTCGGCCTCGGCAGGAAGGCTGCCACCGAGCGCAGCCTGCCGTATTTACTCTCGGCAGACTATTAACCAACACCAAGCTATTAATCTGGCTTTTGAGCCTTCACTAAAGCCCATAAAAGCTCACAGTTGTCAAATGGAGTTCATTTTAATTTCCTTTCAATCACAGTAAATTATTCAGGTGATAAATCAGCTGGAGCAGCCTCCTGGCTGTAATAGAAACCCTAATTCCTGGCTAATTATCCAGCCCATTGCTGCCAACAGATCAATACGGGCACAAAATGGAACGGGCCCAGGGCCCTCCCTCCCATTGGGCCAGAGACAGAAAGACAGCTGGGGAAGGGGGACATGCTGCTGACCTCCCAGGAAGTTCAAAGGTCACGGGGGGTTAAATCGGGAGAAGGCCTGTCCCTTGTCTAACAGAGAAAGCCACCAGAAATGCCTCCTGCTCTCGTATGCTGCCTTGCCCTCTGAGTGGTGGCTTTTCTCCAGGCTGGTATGTGTGGGGCTGAGCACTGCGCACTCCTGTGGGCATCCTACTCCTGGGAAGGGGCTGGTTTGTGTTTTTGAACATGATGGGTTTGGTCATCGGGAATGGCCTTGAACACCTACCGATCTGAGTCAGAAAAAGGTCTGGGACTGTGGGAAAAAAGATGAGGTACCAGACATGCTTTCCCTCTTCAGGAAGCTCAGGTTCCTGTGTAGAGCGGGTCAGTGCCCACCAGCGGAGGACGGGGTGAAGAGACAGGTGTGCAGGCTGAGAGGGGGGGAAGGCTTCCTGGAGGCGGTGTCATTAATGCTGTGCCTTGAGAGGAGGGCAGAATCCAGTGCTGTGGAGATTGTAGAGTTGTCTGGAGGGGGCATCCTCGGCAGAAGGAACAGCCTGGGCAAAGTTACACAGAAATGCAGGGGCGGCAGGGAACTGCAAG